CATCCCAAGGCCTGAAGAAAAATAATGTTTCTGCTCATTAGTACACAGCAACAACTGGATATATTTTCAACACCAGTCTAACCATGGCTTATTACACAGATTCAATGTCTATTTAAAAACCTGATGGAATTTTTAGATAATTAAACAAAATCCCACAAATCTGCCACTTAAATTGCAAAAGCATGTTATTTTTATGATTCAAAATACAGAAGAAGGAGTAGGGGGAACGAGTTACTGCTAATGCACATGGGATTTCTTTTTGGGGGAACAAAACTGGATTGTGATAACTGTACTACACCATGAATACTAAAAAATTACTGACTTGTACACTTTAAATTGGTAAATTGTATGGCATGTGAATTTCTCACTAAAGTTGTTAAATAAAAGGGGGACAAAAGCCCAGAATTTGTGGCTGATACCAATTATTCTAATGAAACTTATAGACAGATGCTGGGGTAAGGAGAGGGGGTACAATTAAAAGGATATCCTCCTCAACTACGATATCAACATGTGCAAGAGCCAGGAATGAAAGGAAAAAGAAAACAGTTTACATTTTATTCAGCATTAAGAGCTTTAAATTAAACCATATTGTTTGCTCAAGCTAGATATTTGAGTAATTCGACATTAATTCAGACTGTATATATCATTCCATATTCAACACAATGGTAAAAATTAGAAAGCACAAGATTGCCCAGTGTTGACAGGGATTAGGGATGTGAGACACACCCCACTGGAGGGGACTGTACCAGTCTGGGATACAAACTGGTACAGACATTCTGGAGAGCAACTAGCAGTACTTGGACAAGTTAAATTATATATACCCAGCAATCCCACTCCTGAGTCCGGAGGGGTGATGTACAAGATTATTCATCACAAAGATGTTTGTGGTGAGAGAGAGCCGGGAGCAACCTAGTTGTCTGTCACTATGGGGGAACAAAGGTAAAAGGCAGGGTATGAACTATTAGCAATTAAAAGCAAAGGTGTAGATGTACATAAGGAATCAAGGATGGATATTAAAAACAGTTCAAAGTATAAAAAAAGTAAAAAACAGAGTGAAGAATTTCACAGTACAATGCCATTTATGTAAATTAAAAACATACACATAAAACATTACTGGTTTTAGAAGACCACCAACAAAACAATGCACAACAAACATATTAGAATGCCTACTTTTGAGGGCAGGGAGTAGGGAAATGTGAATGGAGAATGAAAAAAAGGAGGGAATAAATGAAAGCATGAAATGAAAGAAGGGCCTTTGTAATAACCAAAAACAGTGTGCTCTAAACGAAGCAATTGGATGAACTCAACCATCTGCTCCAGGGAATGAAAGATGTGATGTGAAATGAGGTAAGATGAATATAGCAATTACTTCTAACTTTCAGTTGTGGTGTTTTCTTCATGAACTTTCACATCATTCTGTGTGTCTGCCTCTCTAGGTTCTTGATCACCCACAAAGTTCACTGAAGTATTACTGACTGATCTAATCCAAAGCTGTTTTCAGATCATTCCTCAATTCCTGAGAAAGGTGAAAAATTACACCTAGCATGAAATTTCAGTGATATTTCACTTGATCTTTTACAGATAAGTACAATTCATCTCGGACTATCAGCCAAGATGGCAGAATAGGTAAACACTGTTCTTGCTTCCTCAGGAAGCATCAAACATCAAAATTACAACTAAATGATAGAACTGCCCTTACTAAGAACCATGTAAAGACTACTCTGAACTCCTGAAACATTTATTAATGTCAATAGTATAAAATGAGTGTCTCAACTATATCTGCAGCTATCACTACATTTCTAACACCAGCAAATTCCACATTCTGTTCATACCCAGTTTGTGACCATTTAGTAAAAATGGAAGCCTTAAAGCTGGACCCTAATATTATAGCATATATAAAATTCACTCAAAAGGAAGCAAAGACCTAAATGTAAGAGCTAAAAATATAAAATTTTTAGAAGAAAACACGGGGGAAAGCTTCATGACATTAGATTTTTGGAATGTTTTCTTGTATACACTACCAAAAGCACAGGCAACATCAACATCAAAAATAAGTGGGACTGCATAAAAACTAAAAATGTTTGTGCATCAAAGACACTATCAATAGAGTAAAAATATAAACCATGGAAAGGAAGAAAAAATTTGTAAACCATATGATAAATACTGATATCCAGAATATAGAGAAACTCCTACAACTTAACAACAAAAAAACAACATGATTAAAAATGGACAAAGGACCCAAATAGAAGACATAAAAATGTACAATAAGCAAATGAAAAGATGCTCAACATCACTAGTAAGTGGGGACATAAAAATCAAAACCACAATGAAATATCACTTCATACCCATTTGGATGGCTATTATCAAAAACAAAACAAAGACAACCCCCCAGGGAATACCAAGTGGTGGCTAGGATATGGAGAAATGGAACCCTTGGGCACTGCTGGAAATATAAAGTGGTGGAGCTACCTCAAATGTTGGCAATACCCCAGAGTTAAACATATCCATACCAAGACACATTATAATTAAAATGTCAAAAGGTAAAGAAAAGGAGAGGCTCTTAAAAGGAACAACAGAAAAACCTGTTACACACAATGAAACCCAAATACGACAATCGGCAGATTTTTCAACAGAAATTTTGTGGGCCAGAAGGCAGTGGCACAATATATTCAAAGTACTAAAAGAAAAGAAAAAAGTTTCAATCAAGAAAACTCTACCTCGCAATATTGTAATTCAGAATTGGAGAGATAAAGAGTTTTCCAGACAAACAAAACGCTAATAGAGTCCATCACCACTAGCCTGGCCTTACAAGAAATGCTAAAGGGAACCTTTTAAGCTGAAAATAAAGGGCAGTAAGTAGTAACAAGAAAACAATATGAACATACAAATCTCAATGATAAAGGTAGATATAAAGGTGGTGAGTTAATCACTTATAAGACAAAAATAGTAAAAATAATAACTAGAGTAATTAGTTAAGGAATACACAATACAAAAATATGTAAAACGTGACATCAAAAACAAAACATGGGCTGGGTAAAGTAAAAATGTGGAGCTTTAGAACATGTTCAAACTTAAGTTGTTATCAACTTAAAATAGTCTGTTCTAGTTAGAAAATAAACAAATCATCAGGATGTAATGTACAGCATGGTGACTACAGTTAATAATACTATAGTGCATATTTGAAAGTTGCTAAGGGAGTAGCTCTTAAAAGTTCTCATCATAAGAAAAACTGTAACTACATATAGTGATGGGTGTTAATTAGACTTACTGTGGTAATTATTTTGCAATATATACAAATATCAAATCATTGTGCTACATACCTGAAACTAATATAATGTCAATTATACCTGAATATTTTAAATGTGCAAATAAGAAATTTTGTATGATTTTATAAAGACTTGAACAAGATTAGGATAGAGTAGGTTGTAATAAATTAATATAAAAAGCTAGAAAATTTTTCAAGTAATGAAACAGTAGTATAAAAATTCAATGAGATAAAAACAACAGTTCACAGCAGTATTTTATTCTATCTTTTAATAAGGAAAATGAGGATATAGAAGAGAAATAAATTTTGGTAAAATGAAACGGTATAAAAGTAAAAAAACACTTTTTACAAGAATTTAGGTTAAGAAAGTGTTAGTACTAAAAATAAATTGATGTTAACATTAATAATATAAAGGAAGAAAATCTTTCTAAAATCATTTATGCTTTGTGGGAAAAAGTTAAACAGAATTATCAAATGATTCAGCAATTCCACTTCTGAGTATACATAGAAAAGAGAAAGGACTGTAAAACAGATATTTATTCATAATAGGCAAAAGGTAGAAACAACCCCCACATCCACTGAGAATGAATGAATAAACAAAATGGAGTTCACGCATACAATAAAATATATTTCAGTGTTAAAAAGGAAGAAAAATCTGACACATGCTTCAACACAGATGAACCTTCAAGGCATTATGCTAAGTTAAAAGACTCGTGTAGTGGAGCCTTCAGATTGCCTTAGCCATTCACCTGACTGCAATTACCTGCAAGATCCCAAGCCAAACACTGCCCAGCTTATCTCAAAGAAACAAACCACAGAACTGTGAGAAATAAGAATTATCTTAAGTCACTAGGGTTCAGAATGATTTGTTATAGTAGTGATAACCAAAAAATACTTTAAAATAATAAACTGTTTTAGGCTACTAAGTTTTGGGTGGTTTATTTTCACAAGGGTAGTGGTTACAAGCTTGTTTGTGGTTGTCAAAATGCACTGAACTGGATGTTTAGGACACGTGTTTTAAAAAATTAAAGAAAATTCTCTCACTTAAGCCTATAATAATGCCACTGGCCAAACTCTGTCAAATTCCTCAGGATTCTACTTTATGTAGTACAGTGATATTCTTCTAGCTTTGTTCTGTCATCTTACCTTGTTAACTTTTGGTGTGTGTATCAACTTAGTAAATTCCTAAATCAGGTCATTCTTTCCTCTTTCTCCAATGTCTCTCCATCAGTTTCAGCCTTCCTATCAGTGAAGACTGACCATCAGGCTTTTCTATGTGTAGGGGGGGCGCTAAGGAGGGAGTAGGGAAGAGAATGTAATAAAAACCCGACTCTACCACTAGGAAGGAACTAGTCTTTTAAAAACTAATTGAGCCTGCCCTTCCTCTATGCTTCAGTTGGACACAAACCCTTCGTAACCCACAGACGTGAAAAATCAGAATTGGGGCAGAATTACGAAGACTACCGACAGATGAGAGTGAGTATAATGGGCAGTTACGGAAACTGCGAGGGCATAACAGGCAGCTGGGGGAAATGCTGCCAAATTCTTGGGTTTTCCTGCAACTCCTCAATTTCCGCCCTAAGGTGTCAAGGGGTGGACCTGGAGGACCCGCTCTAGGTTAGTGCCGCGGGGGGATCTCACTAAGCCCCAGGTCCAGTACCAGTCCCTTCACTCTCAGCCTCCCCGTTCGCCGACCCCCACACACGCCCGCGCCCACGTCCGCAAGACTGCACACCACCAGCAGGATCCGGTCCTCCACCAGCGGCCGCTTCCAGAGGATCTCGGACTTCAGAATGCCCACGTTGTCCGGGCTCAAGCTCCTTTCCCTCTCCGGCTTCTCCCGCCAAGCCTCACACACAGGGTCCCCGAACCAACCACAAAATGCGAACCCGAGAACTCGCTGACAACACTGACCGGGCCGCTTCCGGCGGAAGCTAAGGTGGGCGAGAGCCAAGAGCGCTGCAGCGCGTCTGTCGTGGACGAAGGCGCTGCGCATTCCTGGCCTCTGGCGGTGCCCTCCGGCAGTGCGCCTGTACTCCCCACTACAAGAGAAGTGGGCTGAAACACGAATCTTCTGAATTGTGGAAGTCGACATACATTATTTTTAATGATGTTGTTACACCTGCTTGTACCTTCTAGTTCAGGTCCCAAAACCTCCTCGCAAAACACCTCAATTATGTTAAATAAGGTCAGGTCCTTACTTGCTATACTAGTTCACATCAGAGTTTTTGAAGTTACCTGCTTGCCAAAATTAATGTACTAGATAGAGAGTGAGACAAACATGAACAATATACCATCTCATTAATATAATATAAAAGGGCCCTGGCGAATGTAGGTCAGTGAATTGAGCACAGGCCTGTGAAGCAAAAGGTCGCTGGTTGGATTCCAGCGCCTGGGCACATGCCTGGGTTGTAGGCCAGGTCCCCAGTAGGGAACACATGAGAAGCAACCACACATTGATGTTTCTCTCCCCCTCTTTCTCCTTCCCTTCCTCTCTCTCTAAAAATAAATAAATAACATATTTAAAAAATAAAGTAAAAGGGCCATGTTCATGGCTAGCCTTTTAAACTACCTGTAAATTTAAGCAACTACACCCATTTAAGTCTTTTTCGGAAGTAAATTTGTTTTTCCTCTCTCAGTTCTAGATTGCTTATGTATCTTAGTGATAATTGAACATCAACGCCAAGCTGAGATAATCTTTTCAGTCATGTGTTCAACAATCAAGATTTTCAGTGGTATGATTTGAGACATACTCTGAAATTCTTTTTTTTTAATTCTAACTGAATAAGAATAAACTGAGAAGAAAAATTACATCAGAGATTTTAATTTTAAAAAGATCCTAAAAGCTGTTTACGATGCATTTATTTTTGTTTCTATTCCATTGAATCATTTTTTAAAAATCTACTTAAGTCATCACTGAACAATATTTGACATATTATTTTTCCCACTCAAAAGGAAAGAAATATCATTCAATTCAGTCAATTGGTAATGGGTAAGATGGTTTATCAAAATAAAAGATGATAGAGAATTGTTCAGTTCCATTTAAGAAGTTTTTTTATTGTATATGTGTGTGTGTTGGTTATACTGCCTCTAAAACATATCTGACTTTTGCCAGAAATAAATTAGCTTTGAGGCTTATGAAAACTTAAGATATTTTACAAAGAAAAGGTCCTCAAACTAATAAACATGGCAACATTATTACATCAATATCTTTCTTCAGTCTCACTTATAATTCAATAAGCAAATACAATTTATTAAAGTGTTCCTGATTTAGGGGTTAGAGATTACAACACAAAACCCTGAAATCTGTTGACACAAAAGATAGTAACAATAAGAAAAGATTAGAGAGAATGCAAAGGTTCAGCTTGGAGAGAATTAGTGTAAACCAGAGAAAACATAAGCAGGCTCCTACTGAATTTCAGACTGTCGTTGATTTTGATGTTTATGTAAACATGCACATTAAATCTTGACTATGAGATGGTCTGAGACCATCTTGGTCTGAGACCTTCTCAAATCTTGGTGTGAGGTTGAAGATGGTAAGGGAGGAGAGCACTTGAACAAGCAAATTGATTAGATAACTTTTCAATACAGAAGGGGAAAAAGAAGCCTGGGAGACTTTAGAAACAGTCAAGAGAACCAATCCATCCTGACTCTAAGCGAGAATGTATTCATTTTTAAAATATGTATCCCATCCCATCACAATAGAATTTAAAGTAAGATATTGAGAACAACCCAGATGCCTTAAATGGAAAAATGGTTAAATAAGTTATAGTTCATACATAGAACTGAATGTGAAACATTAAAAACTATGTTTTAAAAATATTCAATGACATGAGGGTGTTTATGACATAATATTTAGTTAAAATTAGAATTAATGAAAGTAGAAGTATAGTATATAGTCTCTATTGGTAAGAAAATATAAACTTAGAAAAATGATTGGAAGAAAACATCAAAATATCAGGTTGTTATCTTTTAATAGTGCCATTGGTAATTTTTATTTTCTTCTATATACCATAATTTGGTACAAATTCCATAATTTGGAAAAATATCCAAATAGCAGTCATTTTCTGTTTTATTAAATTATTATTAAAATTCTTCATAAGTTTTCCAGCATAATTACTTTAAAAATTGTGTATAATAAATTTTATATAATGCCAGCAAGAGAAAGCAAAGGATTAGACAAAGAATATTTTTTTAAATCTTTATAATTTATTCAATCAATATTTGAATATTTTCTATGAGCTCTAACTTGCCTTAGATTCTGTGGCCTAAACCCAATAGAAAAAACAGTCCTATCCTTTAGGATATTACCAGCTAACTTGGGAATCAAGAAATAGATCCTGAAAAGGTAAATTAGGTAAGATAAATATGATTTAGTAGCATGTATGAGCTATAATAAAGCAGTTGTAGAAATTAAAGACCAGTCATTTTCTAAAAGAATAAATAGTAAGAATATATGATTGGTGAAATTATTCTTTTTGGAGTAACTCATCCTAAGAGATTATTTGTCATTTCTGGAGACTAGAGGAAATACCAGATTTAATCAAGATGATCTGGGTTTGTTTTGTTGCTATCCTAAAGGATAGAATGTAACTTTTTTTTCATTTTCTTCTCTTTTTAGGAAAAAAACTATATGATCTAATACAGTGGCCTCAATCTTCAGAATAACGAGGAGGACTTTTTGCAACCCAGATGCTGGCCCTGATCCCCGGAGTATCTGTCTCATTCAGGAGCTTGGGGGTGGGGCCCAGGAGTCTGCTTTTTCATCAAGTTTCCAAGTGAGGTGGCTGCTGTTCATCCAGAAGCCACACTTTAAGAATATATTATTTTGAAATCTCTCTGGGAGAAAAAAACCGGGTGAGTCAGAAACTCAGTCTCCATGGAGCCTTGATGAACAGGAGCAGAGGCCGAAGCCTGTGTCTGCAGCACTATAGCGGGTGCTTCTCAGGGCGCCCGCCCACTCCCAGTGACACTGTCATCGATTTCTGAACGGAAGGCGGCAGGCTCCCTTTAGATCCAGCCCCAGTCACACGCCTGCTCTGTGTGGTTATGCCTCAGGCTCCAATACGCAGGAAACATGACATGTGAGTGTGAGAGTGGTGAAGAGCCATGTCAGTGGCATGCTGGGTCCAGAGCAGCTCATTCTGACCTGCGAGATCCCACTGCAAAATTTTTAAGAATTCTGAGTCAGCTGTTCAGCATAGTCATTATTAAAAGGTAAATATTTATTTACAATTAAACATATTATATTATAAACACAAGTAATAAATATACAGAGCCTATAATAATTATATCACTACATTTTACTATTATGTATGCCCTTGGAGTTAGCTATGCCTATTGCATCTTTGTAGTGGAAATAGTGTATAATGTGGCCCCTGCATATCTGCTGCAGGCTCCTCATCTGAGGATGTCCTCCTGGCAGCTTGAAATCAGCCACAATGAGAATACTTGTGCCACAGAAACTGACAAATGCTGCAAACCTGGACCTGATTTATTGTTTTGTTGATTGTCTAAACTTTAAAAAGTGATAGAGAACATGTTAATAACACAGGCCAGGTTTTTTCAACCTCGAGCCAGATAATTTTGCAGGGGAGGGGTAACCCTGTCTCTACCCATTAGATGCCAGTAACACCCCTTCTATAGTTTTACAACCAGAAATGTCTCTGAACTTGCCAAATGTCTTCTGAGGAACCAAATCTCTCTCCACTTGAGAATCACTGATACAAATTAAATGTACAAGTGTTGTTGTCTGTAGCTGTTACATAACAAAGAGGACAAAGACTTGAAGAGATACTCTGCCAGGACTGAAAAACTATTATCTGAGTAAAGAAGTTTCTCACATCATTGGCAAACAAGGGAAGTTTGAAAATGGGTCTTTGTTGTTTCACTTTTGTCTTATTCATTAATTTACACAATAATACCAAGTAGTGTTTGTGTTAGAGTTGGACTCATGCATCAGTTGTAACCATAGATTGGCTAGGGATATGAGTTCTGCAAAAAATAGTTAAAGCATTCTGTGAGAATCAATTGGTTACATGGAATTTACAATAAAGTTACTGCATTGTCATTATTTATAAAGTGTGTCTTCCATATCTTTTATATCAATAAAAATTACAGGAATATATGCACACACTTCTTTTCCTTCAGAGAGCCAGTTTTTAAACATTTACCAGCACAGCACTGGCCATTATGAACCCTTAGTGTCAGCTTCATTAAACAATTTAGCAAAGAAATTTGGAATATCAAGAAAGAGGAATAAAATAGGTTTACAAGGAAAATCAAGAATGACAAACAATGGCAAATAACCCCGAAGGCCCTTGGGATTTCCAGTCCTCTATTCTGGTTCTTCCTGGAGTCTACTTTGCATTTCCATACCAAAAAAACACTACTGAATCTTCACACCATATTTCTACCTTTAAAAAAAAATCTCACTTGAGGACATGGTCATTGATTTTTAGAGAGAAGGGAAGAGAGGGAGAGAGAGAGAGACATCAATTGACTGCCTCTCATTTGCACCCTGACCAGGGATCAAACCCACAAACTAGGTATGTGCCCTGATCAGGAATCAAACTGGTAACCTTTCAGTGAACAGGACAACACTTCACCTGAGCCACACTGGCCAGGGCTATTTGTACCTTAAAAAATATATTTTATTGTTTATGCTATTATAATTGTCCCTATTTTTGCCCCTTTTCCCCCCCTTAACCCCACCCTCCCCCCATAGTCAATACCCACAATGATACATCAGACAAGGGTTTAATCTCCAAAATATATTTAAAAACTTATATGATTGAATACCAGGAAGACAAACAATCCAATTAAAAAATGGGCAAAGGACTTGAATAGACACTTCTCCAAGGAGGACATAGAAATAGACATATGAAAATATGCTGAACATCACTAGCT